AACTCTTGAGCGTTATAAGCATGTGTTTGTGTTGCTGGAATTCATTCGCCTTTATGTCATGCGTAACCACGAGAAGAAGTTGGCTGAAATACAAAAGTACAAAGGGACTTTAACTCCTCGTGCAAAGGCTGAGCTTGATGCTCGAAAGCGCATCTCTTATGATTGTCAGATTTGTCCAGCGGGAAAAGGAGAGTATGAGGTAGACCATGGAAGAAAAAAATATCGAGTTAATGTCAGAGGCAATCTTTCATGTGCTTGCAGGTTTGATATAATATCTTCTATTATTAAATTTGTAATAAGTCGTTCTTGGTGTCTTTTGATTATAATTTAATGTTTTGTTATATATTTAATGATTTGTTATACATTTTCTATTATAATGCAGACAATATGATATAAGTGGAATTCCATGTGCTCACATCATCAAARCACTTCGGGAAGATAACAAAAACAATAAACCAGAGTCGCACGTTTCGGGTTGGTTTATGGCTTGTAGATGGGATGAGTGCTATGAAGAGGGTTTAAAAGGAATGAATGGGATAGATATGTGGCCTATAACTAAAGATGTTGTGGTCTTGCCTCCAAAAGATAAAATTCCAAGGGRAAGACAACCAAGCAATAAACGCATACTTGCATCATGGGAAAATAAGCCAAAGCATAGTAAAAAACCAAAAATTCAAATGGTAAGAAAGCCCTTGCTCTATGTGTCGTTGTTTACAAGTTCTTGTGGTRTTGCCTTAACTTTTTAATGTTCTTAGAAATGCAGCAAGTGTAATTTAACAGGGCATAACAAACAAACTTGTAAGAATAAGAATAAGGGGGCAGCTTCATCAACAACTGCACCAAAAAAAGGCAAAGGAAGACCTAGGAAGATTGTCGACGGCGCAAACGATCTTTCACAATCAGATCGAGCCATGGAAGCTAGTGAATCATAGGGTCATGAGAAGACTGCTTTTGTGATATGAGAAGACTCTTTTGTGATCATGTTGCTGTTTTGTTAAACTAGATTATGCAAARCTATCTACTATGAACCTTTCGGATTTTTTTGTACGTCTATATGGTCTAGACCTTATTCATTGTTAAGAAATTGTTAAACTGAACTCTTCTTSTCTTAAATCGCAAGATATCTTCAATTTTATAGGTTTTTGACTTTGTCTCTGCTAAARTTCTGCGTGTTTTGTCGGGTTCGAGTTTAATCTGGGAAAGACAAAGTATCACGCATCGTTTTTTATTTAACCTAAACGACACCGTTTTTATCTCCCGTTAATGAATTAACAGCGTTAGGTTGTAGGGTTTAATTTGCATCAAATAAAAAGGTTAGGRTTTAATTTGCACCTGTTTTTTGTTAGGGTTTTTTTTTCAAAAAAAAGATTCCTTGGAGTTTTTTTTGCATTTTCCCCCATGAACCAGAGCCAAGAGTATATGTACAAAAGGGAAAGCAAGATTCAGCCTTTAAAACTTAACCAAATGGTTTTTTCCTCTTTTCGAAGACTAGACCTAAACAGGGGATCTCATTCTTGAATTTTTCAAGATCAGAACCCGAAACCCTACAAATCTCGTAACGCAACCTTCTTGCTTCTACGATTATCAAGAATAGTACAATTAAGATCATTAGCTATTCGATCTAGAAGAGATATCGGGAGTGGTTGCACAAGACGCAGCCTTGTGCTGGATGCTTCTCATGCTTAGCTCCATGCTTCTATGAACCATGTCCTGCAACAGTTTCTTAGCCGTTTCCGCAGCTTTTTCTGCCCCGTCTACTTGTACTGCAATGCCGTAAACAATTTTCTCTAGTACCGATGTAGTCAGTTCCTTCTCTCGAGGAGTCTCTCTCAGTAAGTCCAATAGAATTCTGGCTCTATCTCGAGACTTTGATGTTCCTTCTACTGTTGAACTTAGTAGACCCGGGATCGCACCTTCTTCCAGTATGAGTTTCCGGTACTTGTTTCGGTCGCTGTTGCATAGAGAAAGCAAAGCTCCAACCGCGTGTTCTACGCTGAGTGGAGAGCCATCCTCTACAGTCTCTACTAAAGTCAGAATACCATTTTCACAGCTCGTGATGGCGTTTCGCCCATCCTCAGAGTTAGAAAGGATCATCTCAAGCAAGGCTGTGGCTTTTTCAGCAAACTTGGAATGTTTTTTGCATTCTTTGAGAAGGTGGATGAGCGGGGACACGGCTTTAGAATCTAGAATTGAAGCGGAGTACTCTTCGCAAGCTGATAGATTGTGAAGAGCTGTGACAGCATCTACTTTCCCCTGTACAGTTCCAGAGCTAAGCATCTGAACCAGAAGCGGTGGGACTCCAGCAGTTATAATCATCGCCTTGTTAGCTGGTGCAGCTGAGAGTGTTAGAATTGCTGCAGTGGCCAATTCACGTAAACTGGCACTATGGAGCTTTAGAATCTGTATGAGAGGAGGAATTGCGCCGGCTTTTACAATCTCAATCTTATTCCTGTTCAGAAATCACAACCAAAATAAGTAATGGAATGCTAACGACACCGAAATGTGTCTCATCTATCGCCACAGAACATACAAGTAAGTGAATTGCAACTCAGATTTGCCATTAATCATCCAAATAGCAGCAAAATACACCTAAAGCTAGAGCTAGAACAAGCAGATCAGGAATACGAACAATACAGAACAATGGCAAACTTTTGGATTTGATTGAATACAAACAGTAACCATGTCTCAAAAGCTATAACCCTCCTGAGTAGAGATTGGTGAAGTTTCTTAAGCAATAACTAATATCTTAATCAATGCCTTAATGCCTCAGATCGAGCATTGAATCTGATGTACGCAGATAAAACCTAGAACGATCCAAGAACAAAACGGGGGGAGATTTTACCGTTCGTTTCTGACGGCGAGATTAAGGAGAGCGAGGAGGGAAGCGTGACGAGCATCAAGGTTCGAGGAGATAAGCATCGGAACAAGCGGCGGGATAACTCCGGCGTCAGCGAGTTTCGACCTAGCCGAAGACTTAACCGGAGACTTTCTCAACAGTTTCCGGATTTCTCTAGCGGCTTCGATTCGGAAATCGAGATCTCCATGGATGAGTTTCTTAGAGAGATGTAGAATCAGTAACTCCTTTGTGTTTTTCCAGCTATTTGTGGCGGCTTCGTCTTCCCTTCCCCATCCTTCGGTCGCCGTCGCTGAGTCGTTGGAGATGACATCAATCATCTCTTTCTCGTTCTCTTCCACCACCATTGTCTCTCTCTCGCTCGCTCAACGGGGAAGAAGGGAACGGTCTCTCTGAGTTATCGAAATCAATTTCTCTGCTTCATTAATTTATGGTATTAGTTGAAAGAAGAAAGGCCATTTTTCTCGAGGTTAGTTAGTTATTTCAATAACTTCTCAATTTTACCAACCATTATCTTACTTTATGGGCATTCCACATCTTCAACAGATCTCAATTATACAAATAAACAATACAAATATTTTTTTATAGAATATTGAAGAATCAAAAATACACGATAATAATTATTATCATTGTCATTTATTGCAATTTATCGCAGTGCAATTGATCTAAGATAGAGTTTTTCCCTTGTTGGGCTTAGGAGTCTCTGTTTGTGGTAGAGTCTTTGTTTCTCTTGGAAAAGAGCTGTGAATCTTTATTTGTAGTTTTCGAGGGAAGAGTTGGTGTTTCTTGCTTACGTGTGTGGATAAGACTCTTTGTGTTCTTCATAAAGCTGGAGTTGTTGAGCTGAGATAAGAGTGAAATTTTTTCCATGAATGAATTGAATAGAGGAGGATCTAATTA